ATGCCCTTTGGTGAATACATGTTCAATTCGGGATATCTTGCAAAAAATAGACACCATTTGGCATTCTTTCGCAATGAGCTCATGCGGCCCAGAAGCCAATCAGAGCCGATCACAAACGCAAAATGGACACCCGGATGCTGATCACGTAAACTGCACAACAAGTCATAGGTAAATGCTGCCATCTCTCTTCTTGTGTCAATATCTGAAACCTTGGCTGAAGTTCATTGAATCTTTGGTTGGAAAGCCGCAAAGCCACACCAAAAAGACAGAAATTCAGCTGTCCATATGCAGGTTACTGGTGGTTGGTTTGGTCATAGAACAAAACAGCAAGCAAATCAAACATGATAAAATGGTACACTGCAATTTGGAGTCTGCCCCTTGACACTAACTACAACCACAATCTTAAGCACGAGAATGTGCACGACGACTTTTTGCGCCAAAAGGCACTCGATAAATTTCAAACCTGTTCATTAGACCCCTTGGCAAACACTCAATGTTTTTTTTCACCTCTGCCTTCAGTCTGGTCTGCGATACTGTGTAAATTCTACAGGTTTTGGAATCGACAGGGACACCAGGAAGATTCGTGACCACATATTATAGAGGTTCTCAAGCAGTTGGTCCATGTGGACATTATGCTAGTATGCTGTGCTGTCTAATCTGATATGCCCACGAACTGCTTGATTCCGCTCCAAGTAACCTTAATGGGGAAGTCCGGGGAAAACACGGTATTCACGGCGATCTGGCACATACAATATCGGTCCAAGGCAGGGGTCTTCAACTTGGGTTTGTCTGGACGAGGTCCACAAGGCACCAGCCACACTTCATCGGCACAGCCACTATGTACCTGGGCTCAACTCGAGACGCCAATGTGGGCGTGGTCTTGTCACCGTGATATCTCAAAGCCATTTCTTATCATGGATACATACGTCATAAGTCATACCTGTCATCTCCCCAATAGCTGTTTTGTATCATGCCTTGATCCGCCGACTAATGAATTAAGCTGAGGGCTGAGGGCCTATTGCAGCCTGTGACAAATGCGCAACCAAACAAATCTGCAGCATATCAAGATTGTCGGGGGACTCGAATAGTCTCCCCAAATAATCTTGAAAGCTGCAAGCTGGGGCTGGAAGCTACTGACTACCATGTGTTGCTCGAGAAAGGAACACAAGAATCCTCACCATGTGACAATCTCGCTGGCGCAAGTCATATGGGAGTTAGTGGGAGGGTCGAAGGCGCCGCCATAGATGGCCACTCTCTTTGCCTTGCCTTGTGCTTGGGTGACCTGACCAGGACCACCATCGAATCGTGACACTCAAAAAATGTGTAACGTGTACCAGCATTGCAAATACTGAGTGTGTGCATGTATGTGCTTGGTACGTGCTTGGAGACACAGAATGCAATAGGATTCATTGTAATTCCGGGCCTTCAACGAGAGATCTATGATTCGATCCACACTGTAGCACTGTATCGGCTCGATCCTTGCCTTGGCGGTTGGTATGAAGAAGGATCCCAGTCCAGCTGCGACTAGCGTCGTGGGCAGCACGGCCCGAGAGACAGGCTGTTGACGGGCAAAGGCAGCGACCAAGCGCACGTGCGAACGCAGCCGGCCAGCTACTCGGCGAAACATGTCTGCTACTCAAAGGTCCGAGGCTGCACGTCTCAGAGCCGAAACATGATGGGCACGCGACCAGGAGAATCATGTCTCAAATGATGTCTCAAGTACACTCAAATACATTCCATCATGGATTGACTGCAGCTGTCAGGTTAATCAATCACATCACAAACTTGAACTTTTCTACTGTCGAGTATAGTACAGTAATGCATCTAAATTCAGCTGTTCCTAAATCATTCAGATTCATTTCGTCATTGTGTGGAAATGTCAATATCATATATAGTATAATATATATATATAATGTGGCCCTCAGATTTATAAACCCCCCTAGAGTTATGTCTTTGTTTTTCCCTGCACTGATTTATAAAGGCCCCTAGAATAGTATATTTATTTTTGGAGGGGTAGTTGTAGTGGAATAGTTTTTATTGTTATAGTTTACTTTTATTGTAATTAATATTCCAGATGTCTTCAAAGTTAGGTTTCTTGGTTCCTTTTATTTTAATATTGCCAGAGTAGCTCCAGAGGTAGCTAGCTAAGGATTCCCTATTTATTTATCAACTGATTGATTTTCTTATACATTATTTTGGAGGCCTTGGTTGTTGAGGGGGGGGGGGTTATAAATCAAGGGACTACATCACGTCGAACTGTCAACAAAGACATTGCTGGCAGATGGCACATGATGTCACCCTCTTTGAAACAACCTTTGCCGGGCTTTTAGAATTCCTGCTGGGAGCTGGGCGTCTTGTTCTTTTTTACATCCCTTCTCCAAGTGGCACTTCCGTCCCTTCTGTGGTCCCGTCACCTTCCAAGGAGCAAGTTGTTCGACAAAACAAAGCCTTCCGCCGCCAGGGCCCAGCCAGAGGCGCTGTTCAGCAAGGTGATGGCCACCGGCATGTCAGCACCTCCCACCTGCAACAATTCACATTCACATGGTTGCACATCGTTCCATGCCGGTCCACATGTTGGAAAAGAACCTTGGGATTTCGGATCTAGCTGGCTTATGCATGCTAGGCTTATGCTGACTCAAAGGATGTCTGTTAGGGGTAAATCCAGCCGATTTGCAAGACGTCCAAAGATGGACTCTAGACATCTAGCATTTAGACAAAATCACTCAGTATATCACTTATCTTAATACATCATTGCAAACCAACACGGTGGGAATTCGCCACGAGACAATTAAATGTTGTATGACAACACCAGGTCACCACCTTGGTCACAAACATGACAAACGAGCTCGATATTCGACTAAGAACCACAGTACTAGACCTGGCAAACCGCTCTGCCTGGGAGGTCACCACTAGGCCCAAGCCCGCAGCCGCTGCGGTGCCCGCCAGCAGCGTCTGCAGCTCGAATCCAGGGATCGGCGGCTGAAGGAAGGCGTAAAGGCCTCAGGCAAACGAGGGACATGGAAGGTCCGGATGAACAAGCTGATGAGCTCATGTATGATCATGTCGTACATTCAAATCTTCTTTCTCTTAGCCCGTGGCCCTACCTCCTTACTCAATTAACTAGGCGCCTACTCAATTAAGGGAGTAGTTTGCTACTAGCAATAGGACTTCAAGGAAGCTCCCCCCGCCGCCCGCTACTAGCATAGCTCACGCTTTTTCAAGGAAACTCCCCCAGCCGCCCTAAAGGTGGCGGGGGGGAACTTCCTTGAAGAAGCGCTCGCACTAATTATTTGAAACAGAGTTTCCTGTAAGTCTGCAAATCCCTGAAACCTTTTTCATACCACTCAACTGCTTCTCCTTGTGAACATATTGGTACATTGGTATGTATATGCCAGTGTACTTGAACTGCATTCACCGCTCCGGCCAGCCAAGACTCCTGCAGCTACAGCGGCTGCCAATGAGCCGGACAGAACCTCAGGTCAAGCATGTACAGATTTGTTGTCATCTGAGTCTAAGCCTCAGTTCCAATGTGCTATACATCGCTATACCTGCAAAAACTGTAGCATGACATCCTCTTTGTGTTCACGTCATTGTTCGTGCCTGATCTTCCAAGCATGTCTGTATGGGACCTGTCCCCGAGGCTCCGGGCATTGCCCCCTGGCAGCTTGGCATTGCCCCCGACGAGGCCCTGGAGCTTGGCGAAGGCCACCATGGAGCCGGTCACCTTGGTTGGTCAGACTGAGAACTTGGAAAACCTGTCTGGCTTTCGATTGCAACTTGGAGAACTTGGAAACGCTTGGCAATTTGTTACGAGGTTCATCGAGGTTCCACAGGATGGGGTTATTCCTTCCCTGCGGCAGCGGCCCCGGTCCCAAACAGCGAGAATGTCAAAAAAAGTCGGTCAATTCCAGCCAAAATAGCTATTATGTGTGCTCTCGATCGACACGCAAGGCCGGTGAAGAGTTTGGAAGGTAGTGTAGACATGTGTAGACTGTAGTTTATTGATGGTTCGCAGTCCAGTGAAGGTGCGACATTATCTGATCTGAGGCCCTTCAAGTTGGAGTCAAGGACACTTTCTGGGCAGGCGAGAGAAGTGCGTGGTTAAGTATTTGAGCGTGTTTGAGATGTTTGAGTGGACTGAAGCCAGAATGGCATGGAATGGCCACAAATGGATTCTGTTGAAGCAGGTACAGGCTGCCATTCAAATTCCAAGAACCAGTTCTGAGATGTTGTGAGAACCTTTGCAACCTGTTGACCGAACCATCTTTGGACATTAATCTTATGGTTCAACTGCTTTGTTCATACCTTTTTTGATGCTATACAATGTTACAATGCTTTACTAGCTGCTTTAAGTTGTTGACTGTGTTTTTATTGTTGACAAACCTATTTCTGATCAGCCTACCTGTTCTCACGTCAAAAAACAATCTAAGGATTCAGTGTCGAGATTGCTTGCTGTTGAAATGGTTTGAAAAGTACATGTTGGGATAGTCAACGTCCATGGATGACAGTCAGTTAAGCAATTTGAGACTTCCATACTAGCAAAAGAATCAACCAATCTCTCCACGCGACAAAGCGCCAATAGAGCAATACGAGTACCCTTTTCAGAACTGGGTTCAACATGACACAGATGCTAACTGGAAGTGTGCTTTCTCCCAAGGTCTCCACAAAGCACAAGCGAAAGCAGTCACTCCAAGCTACTGTGAGTGCACCAATGCCAGAGGCCAGGTACTCCGAAGTTGCATGCATCGCATCGGTGCTGCTATGCTGTAGGGCCGATCCCACCGCCGTCAGGGACGCAGCCAAGCCTCGTTTTGTTTCGGACGCATCCAGTCAGAGGCTCAGCTGAGAAGCGCAGCTTTGCGACACCTAAGGCCCTGGCCGACCAAAGAGTGGAAGGCCGCGACCAACTGAGGCAACGAAGTAATTTCCTGAGGCAACTATGTGCAATATGCGGGATGAAGTTACCATAGGGATCTACAGGGTGATGTACAATTTGCAGAAATTGGAATGTTTGCATTCTTCCAAGATCCATCTCGTTATGGGGATCTTCCACAATTTGTCATAGGCTAGCCCCCCTTTAAGCTGGCCAAACTGATTGAGCCCACACATCTCAAACCATCTCCAGTCAATCTGATCCAAACAGAATGATATCGCACTGATACACATCGACTTTGCAGGCACTGCCATACACAGTGTCGAGCCCTAGAAAGCAACTCCAGTCTTGGAATATCTCGGGTGTTTCCCGCTGAAGGCTGAGCGTGTCTCGGGTGTTTCCCGCTGAAGTAGCCCATCATAGCCCATCACCATCTCGTTTCACCAGCTGTGAGCCTCCCGGCCACGCCAAGCGTCCACCTGAGAGGCCACACCAATCCCGAGACCAGTGCCTGCAGCTAGAACCACCGCCTTGGCAAAGACTCTTCGAGCCAGGGGCCACTGTGGAGAAAACATGTGTTTTCAATTGAATATCTTAGTAGAAAGCACTAAGGAAGATGACGTAGACCCAAGGCCCTTTGAAAGCAAATGGTGGCTAGGTCTATACGAAAGGATTCGTGTTTCCAAGACCTAAGGTTTAAAGTCTAAGACTAAGACCTAAGGACCTAAGGCCGTGTGGCTGTGGATTTCGCCATTTGGCCGTCGGGTCTTCACTAGACAGCGGTGCCCTAGTGAAGAAAGGCTTAAAGGGATGGAAAAGTAGCTGCTGTTGCACCATGCGACCATTCTGGACAGCTGTCTGCAACCCTGTGCCAAACTTTGAGTGTACTTCTGGCAGCTCGCCAGGCATCATGCGAGTGACCTGAATACAAGCTACTACTTGTTTTTGTTTCTTCAAACCAAAGACTTGGAGGAGGTCTACCAATTTCACACACATTGGATGAGCTGTTGATTTCCGGTTAATGCATGCCATTGTTCTTTAGTCTCTTTAAGTTTCTTTCCTCTTGTCCTACAGCTTCACAGCGCTGAACACAGCGCTGTAACCAATCTTGGTCAGAACCTCATTTGAAGGATGATGCCTTCACGTTTTGCACACCAAACATCTGACACAATGGATCTTCCGCATAACCATGGAGTCCATGGACACCCACCTCTGGCTCCTCTGAAAACTACGAGAGTCACCCAAACGGCCCAAACGCAGGAGGTCTTTCGAGGTTACTCTGACATGTCTGCTTGTTTGGGGTCTAAGTCCTACACCAAAGGATGATCAGGATATTGTTCTTGGCCTTCAACTAAAGCGAAGGTACAAGAATATCATAGAATATCATGTCCCTCATAATCCCGCGACACATGTCCAGGCTACTCAGCTCCAAACCACTCTGCTGCCCTTCCTCCCTTTCCCTCCTGCTATTGTCCTCTTTAGTTCCATTCCGCATCATTCCAGGGTGCAATTTGGGTCAGAACTGCACTGGAGGCTCCCTGGGCATAGGCCAAGCCCAAGGTTCCCGCCAATGCGCCTAGCACACCACTCAACCCCATGGCGTTCCCGAACTGTGCCTCATGCGGCCACGAACGCCAGCAGTCCAAGCGGCCATGGGTTTTATATGGGTTGGAAAGCGCGGGGTTTGCAGGCTTGATGTTCTCTTGGATGTCTTTGTTACATTTTGTTACTTGGGATTGGGATAGATGCTGCTTATTGGATGTGATATGATGTGATGCTGATGGTGTTGGATTCTTACTCAGTAGTGACTCTTTCAAGGCCAACGTCCGTGAGTGTGGTCACCCGAAATTGAATCGTTGCGGACAACATCTCTCAGTGTCGCTGAGTCTTTCACTGTGAACCTGGTAATACACTCCTGAAGGTTCCTGCGTTGAGCAAACAAAAAATCGGTAGCTTTCTGGTCCATTCAGACCAAACTAAGTCTAGCACAGTTTGCTGAGAACTGAGTCCGCTGATGGCACCAATGCACATCATGGAGGCGACCA